ATTGCTACTGTGAAAGTTCTGAAGCTTTCAGTCCTGACATACATGATATTGGTTCCTTAGCATTCCCTGTTATGCATTCAGACTCAGTAAAATCACTTTCTAAATGCCTTTTCACAATTAGACCAATTTAGTTGCCGTTGCTACAATCTACAAATTACAGAGGTTTACAGTTGGTATATTACAACTAACTGCTTCTGTATTTTATTATTTCAGTCTTGGGAAATGAACAGAATAATGTGAATGTTATTTTTCAATAAATTTCTTAAGACGGCTTCATCGATTGTACTGTAAGTGTGCAATCCATGGAAGATGTTAAATCTCTGAACCCTTTCATCATTGAACTGCATGAAATCATTACAAGTTGAATAGATTAAAAATTATATGTGCTGAGATATGAAATTAAATATATCAGTAAAAAAGACAGAATTTCAAAACTCGATACAGTGTACTGGATAAGACAGTAACACATATTTATACACTGCTTTATGGCCTGCTGAAATCAGTTGCTTCAGCTGTATTTGCATTTATAGAAGATACTGTACATTTAACTTTTTTCAAAATCTTAAAAAGATTAATTTAACTATTTTTTTTAAATCTTTGTTTTTTGTTTATCCCAACAAAAACTACTAGATTCTCATAGATAAAAGAACACAAGAACGGTTACATTAAATTCTGGTAGCTTGAGTGGATCATAGGATCTCATCCAGCCATTGCTGGCAGGAAACAAGTGCATTTGCTTAAAATGTCAGGGAAGCTTCATCAAGATGCATACTGTTTTACACTTCATGTAATGGAATACATTAGAATACCTCCTATTTAAAGTCTTAAAATCACTAGAATTAAGACCTGTATTTATAATGTAGGGTAGATGTCAAATGGTTCCTATTTGCTTTGTTTGTGATGCCATCCATTATATTTCCATTGTACAATGGTATATTTGGAAATAATTAAAAAGCAGTGAAAACAGCATGGATATTTTTCCAGGTTACAATATCTAAAATATTTGTCCTACCATCAAGCTTCTTATCTGACAATGTTTCAACTGAGTTGTTTTCTTTTTGGGGGCTTTCTTGGAATTATTGGAATTTCTATGTCGTATTGGGCAAATTATATTGTCAGAAAATATTTTTTTGTTGAAAATCCAGTCTATTTTAATTATATACATTTTCTATCCCTGGAAAGCACTAAATTTACCTTGGGCTGGATTTAAAATGTGATAAGTGGTAAGCACAATGGTATCCTGACTTTTTTCTGTCGCAATGTACTGCACGGATTAAGAAAATAAAAATAAAAGCCATAAGAAATGTGATCTTATTGTACATATTATACATTACACATACACTAATTGAATGAATAGATTGTTTTCCAGTAAAATGAAATAATAATATAGTATACTGTATTAGGTTATGTATTAATTTGTGTGTTGTTGCTGACTTGGGGAGTTTTTCTTCCTATACAAGCAGAGTTAGTTATTTTTAAATATTATTTTTTTGCAATTCCAATTATTTCTGTTGGCTGCATGCACCAGACAAGAAATAAAGAATAACCCCATTAAGACCTGTATGGCAGGTCTCCTGAACGTCTCGGATTTGGTAGGAGGAATGGAGCCTTACAGTCCAGCTCTCAGCATTATGAATCAGTTAATTGTAGCTGGGATTCCCCCCAGTGATGGTGTACAGTGGCTTGACTACTACTAGTGTCGGGCAGATTCAATTTGGCCGGGGTGTCTCTGTGGCTCAGCAGACACCTGTGAGCTGTCACAGCTGTCAGAGAGAGCAGCTAATAGCGCTGAGGGAGCTGATGGGTCTTTTCACAGTGATCAGTGGTGAAAGGCGCTCAAACGTGTCTGTGGCACAGGCAGGATCTTTATCCTTTCCCTGTAAATTGGCAACTGAAGATGGCAATTAATCAGCAGAAAAAAAAAATTTCAGAACTCAGTTTTCACCAAACTCAAGATCAGTTGTCACGAATCTCTACCTCTACCCAAGGATGATCCATTGAAAAAATACTGCAAAATATAGAAGGTTTTTATATTGGCCATCCACATGTTTTTAAGCCATTCCAGGTCTGCAAAGTTGTTACTTTACCTTCATTTAAAAAAATGAACATTGCACTAAGGAATCCAACTTAATTGTGTTAATTGTTTTAACAAAAGTGATTGGCCTCAAATAGCCAATTAATCTTAACTTTAAAGAAGGTTTGGAAGTCATAGGAAAAGTCTCATTATTCTTCCCATTATTAGGACAATATATGATGTAGTTTGTGTGATCACCTTTACAAGTCCCAGATCTCTATACTCTGTCTTGTGTCTGTGGGAAATGTTATTAAATGAGAGTTGGTATGGGATGTGGTGTGCTACAAATATTCAATCTGTGAAATGCTTCTTAGAGAAAATGGCCTGAAATTATAGGTGGTTTATGCATGAAAACCACTGCACACCCAGAGCAGGGTGATTTGTTTGAATTTTTATTCATATCATATTTTTTCAGAAATACGTGCAGGGCTCAATTGAAAAAAAATATAATTACTTAAAAAAGGACTTCACCTGTCAGAATTCTGCTGACGGACTCTGGGAATTGTATACTATATACTGTAGCATTGAGCCAATTTAGATGTTTCGCCTTGCCCTTTTTATATGTGATTAGGAAGACTGATTATGCCTTTGGTGTATTCTCACACGGAACCAAGCAACTTTATTTTCAAGTTAAAGATGAACTCTGTGGTATTCACCTGAATTGGTGCTGGGTTATGTGAAGGGTAATGAAAAAAAAAGAAATGTAGACCCAGTATAAGCCACTTTGACACAGAATTATTATTAATGATGTCTGGAGGGGAGTCCCCACGAGTATAAAGTCTCCTTTTGAGATGCAGAAACCTTCATCTTTGTAGGTAATATTCATATTTATTGGTGCATGCAGGCTGAGGCTTTTAATAAGACGTGGGGGAGAGTGCTGAAGCAAGATTGCATTGCCAGAGAAAGTGTTTTCATGAAGCTTTGATCTGAGCTTCTGTGTTCAAATTAAATATATTTGGCCAACAAGGAACAAATGGTCAGAAGCATTTTGTGTGCTGACCGAAAGTCCTCAAAGCTTGTGTTTTTGGGGACAGGTATCTCAATATATTGTACAGTATATTAAATTGTGTGCATCCGTGTGTTTTGGGGAAATAAATTCACTCGTGTCTTCACTGGCAGTTTTTTCCTGCTTAAAGTTTGTGAAAAGAAGCGAGAGATTACAGTTTTTTTTATTGTCTTCAGGGATTAATCATCAAAAGTCCACCAAACATTTTCCTTAAAATTAAAATTGTCTGTTTTGTGACATCGTGCCAGATTATTTAAAAGATGTACTGTAGACTATTTTCTGTGTGCTTCATGTACTGTAAGAGTTAATTGTGTAAAAGCCTTTATTGAGGTCATAACAGTGTAGGCGCATCTGGGCACATGCAATTTGTTGGTACTGTATATGCATGTTCATTGATTATGTGCTAAAGTAGTGAAATAAGCAAATATAAAAATGATAATGCTAGAGTTTCATTCATTAACCTGATATTTTAAGAATAAAGAATATAAAAACACCATTTAGCAGAAACGTGCTTCTTTCAAATTACAAAACAACAATGAAATGCATGTTTACCTTACAGCTTTTAATGTAAGACACAGTAAAATTTAATTAAATATTTTACCAGCAAAAAGTAGAAAGTAACAGAAAATTCATTGCATTTTGACAGGGTTCAAAATGTGCTTACCAAGTGACAGAACAATGCCACTTGTTATATACAAATAGTATATTTTTACTGTATATTATACAATCTGCTGTAAGATATGTTCTGATATGTGCAACATAATGCTTTATTAAACACTGGATCTTGAAAAATAAATTCCTTAAAAAATTGCTAAACATTGCTTACACGTTTGTAGCTGCATCAAGAGATTAATTTCATTCATAGTTTGGCTAGGTTTCATGTCCCCCCTTTTATGCATATTTTGTGTTTGTTTGGACAAATTCATGTTTCTTTAAATGCATATAAATAATGTTTCTTTAAATGCATTTATGCTAAGTATAACAATGGATTTACTGTCACTGGTGAAGCATTTTTTTGTCTTTTTAAATAATGCTGTGCAGTTTGGACTTCTCAGAAAGAAATGCAGTGACTTTCTCTACATTAGTTTAAATTCAGCTTAGAATTTAATTCAAGTGATTTTAGTGTGCCAGTACGCTCACCGCACATCAGCTATCAGTGGGGAGAACAGAGTGATAAAGACAGTTCGGGGAGGGGGATTATTAAGGGGCCATGATTGGTAAAGGCCAATGGAAAATTTGGCCAGAATGCCGGGGTTATACCCCTACTCTTTTCGAGAAACACCCTGGGATTTTTAATAACCACAGACAGTCAGGCCCTTTGTATTATGTCTCATTCCAAGGACAGCACCTTTTTACAGTGTAGTGTCCCCATCACTATCATGGGGCATTAAGACCCACATAGACCACAGGGTGAGCACCCCCTTCCGGCCCTAATACCTCTTCCAGCAGCAACCTTAGCTTTCCCAGGAGGTCTCCCATCCTTCTACTGACCAGCCTCAAAACCTGCTTAGCTTTAGTGGGTTACCGGTTGTGAGTTTCAGGGTGATATGGCTGTTAACTATATGTAGCTTTAGTATATTTCTGAATGATCAGTGAACACAAAACAGGACTCAAAGGCTTGTGGGAGTACAGTATGGAACAACCTACCCAGCCATGTTGTTGAAGTAGATATCCTGGCTTCTTTCAAGAAATGACTGTATAAAACACTTGGATTAATAAGCTCTTGTTTTTTTACTTTTCTTTTGTTCTTTAATTGTGATTTTACTAGTTTATGTGGTTAGACTTCAGTCTTCAGTCCAAAACTCAAAATGCTTTGTTATCCAGTTTTTCCTCTGTGTTGTGGTGAATTTGACAGTGCTTTCCTACCAGTTCTTTAATGGCTAAATAAAACAAAGATCTTATTTTTTTTACTTTTCACAGATGACTTGCAATTGTTTTACAATCAGTGACGGAGAACTGCAGGAAATTGGAGTTGGTCTGTATCCCAGGTAGGTTTTGTTAAAATAAATGAACCTACACACAATGAGCAAAAATAATTTATTCAAAGAGAATAGACTTGCCTGCCTAGAGCATCTCACCAGCATATTAGAATCATTTAGTTTTCTATATCATTTCCATGTCTGTTATACAGTAGATGACAACCTTTTGTCTCATGAACATCTGCTGTAGCCTTTACATAATGTGCTGAACATCCAGATACCACAATTTGTCTCCCTTCTGTCTTGTGTCTGATATAATGTACATTACTAGACATTACTAGACATCTTTTTATGATATGGCTACAATTGAATAAAATAAATAAAATTGAAGCGATTTGAAGAGTTTTGTGAGCTGTGCATATACTATGTAATCAGTGTTTATTTTTTAAAATAACTTACTTTGAAACATTAGGGGTTCATATAGGGTGTAAGCCAAACTGAATTGGGCTTAATAAATACAAACGTATTCAAAAGACGTGAATAGGAAGATGAAGGCACAAGTAGTTGATGGAAGCAGTGGATGTAAGAAAAAAGAAATAAAATGCCATTATATTTAGATAGCCAAATGCTCTCCATATCTGCCAGAGATGTAGAGTGACAACAAATAAGATCTGCAATTGTTTGTGCCAGTCAACCATTACCATACCAGAGATAAAACACCACAATCACTATACAGTACTTTCCTCTCAAACCGTGACAATTGTATGAACATCCCACCTACTGTATGACAGTTGCATGAACATATGAGCGAGGTACAAACTCTGCACCTTATCTTACAGTACTGTATCTCTTTATGCATTTATGTTATCGATCAGAGCACCATGGTAGTGAAAACCTACTGAACTGAATACTTTGTGGTATTTTTCTCTTTCACTCAATCCCTTTTGCTCTTACTCACATACTGTACAGTATATAATGTGTTGAATTCATTCCTGACTCTAATAAAAAAAGAAAGGAGAAATTGACATTGAGCCATTGAGGTATTTATAATGCCTATCTGCATCACAGCTATTTGGAAACAGTTGATCACACCACCTTTTATTCTAGTCTGGACTCTTTCTTATGAATTTATAATATCTGTACATGGTCTCTTTACCTATTATCTACCCACTTGAAAGTCAGTTTTAGCCTTTCTGAAATTTAACTAATTTAACAAACGACAATGATCCTGAAGACATTTACTTGATTGTTCATACTATAACATTTCTCATTCATTTAACCAAAATTCCTTAGAGGTCTCGTTGTGTAGGCCATTTTGAGGTTTCTCAGTTTGTTTCTAATCTATGCAATACACATGACGATTTATTTTTGTACTGTGATTTCAAGTTGTACTTGAATTACTTTGTTTATGTAATTAATCAGGAGAACGTACCAAGTTCTTCACACAATAGAATGGATGCTAGTAATTAGACAAAATAATGCATTTAAGGTTTATTTCCATCTAATTACTACATGCTTAAACCTGCTCTTTCCAAATGAGGGGGATTTCCTATGTAATTGTTGTAGAATTAATATCTCTGTAACATGCTTAATTCACTTGTGGGAAACCAAGCAAAAGTTTGTCTTGCATTAATTTTGGATGTCTCTGTGATATCTCTCCTGTCTGGAAGTTCGTCAGAGACAAAAAGAAAAATTGTTTTGCAGATCGTAAAGCACTCTTCTACTAGCTGTGCTAAAGTAGACGTCTAGCTTGTTCTTTCTGCAACCTGCCTCCAGATTCTTGAGAGCATAAAATTGCCAAATAACTCATAACAGTGCAGACAGTAGTGGATAATGTGTAAAAGTCATCTAATGATATCTGAAGTTCCTTGATTGTTTTATTATTTTTTCTTCTATTGTTCGACTGTGCTCAGTGACATAGCGGTTAGTGCTGCTGTCTCACAGTTCCTGGGGCCTGGATTTGATTGCAGATTGAGGCACCTTCTGTGTTAATGTAAACCCAACTTGCTGAGTTGATTGGTTTTTCTATTGTCTGTGTTAATGTATGTGATCCAGTACTGGCAAGTACCCTGTGCATCTGAGATGGGCTTCATGTTGCCATGACCCTTATCAGAAATAGGCTGCTTTCTAATAACAAAGGAACATATGTATTTTTTTTTTTACAACAGTGGCTACAAGCTTCAGTGCTTTTTAATCTTTCATCTTCATTCATCCCAAATGAAAATAATTTTCAGGAGATTTGGAGTTTTAAAAGAGCATCTGTCTTGTTCTGGTAGACCTTCTGAAATTTGTATTCCTACTTTGGGTAACAATTATCTTTGCTCTCTTCATTCTTCTCATCTTTGTGTAAAAAGTTTGCATGGGCTGATTAGTATCATTTCTGTGTGTCTTTTTCAGTTAATATATTGATGCTAAATTAAAAACTTTTCATGGCTTTTGGCTACTCCAGAGTTCTTGTTTAAAAAAAATTCTTGAAGAAGTCACTTAGACTCACACAGAGAATCTCAGTAATGTATTAGATCTTTTGCATAAAAAAAACTAGAAAAATTAAATAGGAGTATTTCTCCACCTATATAAGTCAAGACACATATAGCATTATATTTTTTTCCAATGTTCAGAATTCACACAAAAAAATCCAACTCTTATTATGGGCTAGTTCATTAATACCACTGTACATACAGTACATATTACACCAATTCCTTGAAAGTCATTTGTTAAGAGAAAATTTAAGTTAATTTTCCTTTAATTTAAGGCAATATGCATGACCTTCCATAATACATTTATGTACAGTATAAGTAAAGACAGGAATACAGTAAAG